GGCCATACACCTCCCAGTTGTGCAAGAACTCATACAGGCTTTTATCATCACTGAGAATCTTCTGAAATGAGGCACGGGGGAGTTTCTCCTGCATGGAGGAGTCCCAGGTGATGCGTGCTCTCCGATACCTCTCCCGACCTGCTTCTTCTTGATGCTTGGGGTTGAAACTTCGCTGTCTGAGCCAAAAAGGGACATATGGGCTCACATGTCCATCATCCCAGGTAAGCTGCAGCTTCTCCTGTCCATTCTCCATCTGGAAAAATGTCAAGTAAGACTCTAATGCTCAAAATTTCTTGCCCAACTAAAATAACAATGAGCACATTAGTATGTAGCCTGTAGCATATTGGAAGCATTTAGTCATTTAGTGATAACACTCTGCTACCCTTGTGACCATGAATTGTTGATCAGAGATTCGTTGATATGTTTCCAGCATACAAACTGAGAACTCTTGGAGTGGGATGAAACTCATCCCTGTCACTCCACAATGGCAGCATCAGCATGTTTAAGAAGCAGAAATACAGGGAATCAGTTGTGATCAGTTAGCATAGTATTAAGGATGTCAATAACATGTCATATTTTAGTCAATAATGGCGAAAAATGATGTCCAACATTTCAAGAGACCCACTCTAGAGCAGCAGCTACTATGAAAGTCAATCCATCCAATATGCTAATATGTATTTGAGTAAATAGCAGTGTCACCAGTGCTACTATATGCACCCAGGACAGGTTTACCATGGCTTTCATGGGCAAAACTTTTCAAAGCCAAAACCTGTGAGAGCATACACAATGACAAATTTGTGCAGGCAAAAGCATTATCAATCTGTCTACATGTTTTCTCCATTTTCAAGGTTAGCAGTTTTCACCTCCATCCTCATAATAAAACAGGAAACTACACAAGGCAACCGACCAAAGACCCTTTTAACACTAGATGATATAAGTATTTCAATAGGCTGCACAGATGATTCACAAATGAAATTAAGCTATAGAACTAAAGACATGGCATATGGCACATGGGAAGCACTTCACACAATATCCACTTCTGTGGTTCTTTCTTTCATTGCAAAATCAGGTTAGAACCAAATGGAGCTTTCCTCACTTGAAGGCCAATAGCAGAGGTGTCAACATTGAATTTTTCCAGATCCACAGTCCGTGAAAGGGAGTCGGGATGGAAGCATTGGGCACATTGGCAGTTATCCCTAAGCCAGACAAAGGGAAACTCTGAGCTGGAACCATCGCTCCATGAAACAAAAAGGCTCCGGTTTTTTGGCACCAGTTCTGCCTTATGGATCACAGATGAGTTGACTTTGTGTAGAGCACCAAGATTTGTTGTACCTAAAAAGCAACGGCCAGGAAGCCAGCTTCTCAGGCCAAGATCCAGGTACCTCGGGATTGTGCGGCGGATTAGAGAGGACATCCTCACATCTTCCTAAAGCTTGCACAATCCCAGAGAACAAATAACATGAAATAACAAAATATAAAGTTGAAGTATGCAAATGTCAATGTGCTTTGCTGTATGTTTGGCTGTCAGGGGTACTTTCTCAGCCCCAACTGAGAGTACATCGTGCTCTCAAAGCCAATTTATAAATCGAATATTCTTTTTCAGAGGGATTAGGGTTTTTCCTCAACAATTAGCTGAATGAGCATGGGAAGAAGTTGAGATGGCTCCTGCTGTACTCTTCGGAGCCACAATTTTCCAAGTTGACTAATATGTATAATTGAAGTCTTTACCACTCATATTTGTATGAAATTTTTGTAATTAATCAAATCTCGATCTAATTTGAAGAGATAGGGGTCTAGATCCAGAGCTGCTCCTTTCGCAAAGTTCTAGATTGATATATCAGGCTTGAAATTCCCTTCAGGCTCATCTTTAGTGGGCTCCCCATGCTGTCAGCACACAATTATACTTTCTCAATGCAGATGCATGTTTTATTACAACATGATCACAGTCAATCAATCAACAGCAGTTAGACACTTCTCAGGGAGATGTCTAGCAGAGAGGTAGGTTTTACCTTCAAGGACACAGAGCCCCGATGACATGCTATGGCAAGATATTGAACAGATTAAAAAATCCTTAACCTGCCTCACAAACTGAATGTCAATGACAATTGTGTCTCCGATGTAACAAGGATGTGGGAATTTCATTTCCTGCTTGGCTAGCATGGCTCCAGGACCTGGAAAACGGGTGCCCATGAATCCTGACACCAAAGCATTCAAGAAGACACCTGGGACTAAAGTCCCTTTGAAGCCCCGATGACTTGCAAAATCTGTATCATTGTGCAAAGGATTTGAATCCCCGACTAGAGCACAAAATTTAAGAACCTCATCCTGACTGATCTGTTTCTCCAGGCGTACATGAGAGGTCGTTGCTTCCTTGCTGGCCCATCGCCGTACCTGATGCAGCACTGCTTGCATTTCGTAAAACAGCTTTTATCAATGCTGGAGGACAGTAGTCTTCAACAAAAACCGTGGCAAGGTTTGAGAGACGCCGATTTCTGCTTCTCTTCAGACGAAGCAGACAGTCAACAAGGGGTGGGGATATGATCCTGGTTTTTGTTTCAGGAGTGATGAGGAACATAAGAGCAGTTAAGGCAGACAGAACAGTCTCTTCTCGCACTGATGAGAGGCACCTTGCGATGGTTGTCAAGGATCCAGGCACAGACAAAATGGCTTCCTGATTTTTGGGATCTGAAAATAAAGTCACACTGGATTGATTTGCTGATCAATTGCAGCTAATTGGTGTTTTACTATTGCACAACATAGATAAGTCCCTAATCTTGGAAAACACAACTTAGGCATTGATAGTCTGGCAGAAACTCACTCACCAAGGGCAAGATTGCAGATTCCTGCAATGGCAAATTCTTGAAGGTCCGGATGAGGATGTGCTACATGATCCATAAACAAGAGAGGAACCTGAAGGTCCCTCAAATATTCATAGTTGATTGGGTCATAAGCAAAGTTGGCCAAGTTTCCCAGCAACTGCTTCTTAGTATCTTTCATAGAAATACATAAAAAATTTCCAGACTCAGTTCTTGGAGTAGCCCAAAACATTACAAATAAATTATACATGGGCACCTCCAACTTAGTAGAGATGTTGCATCTTCCAAGGTAATCATAAAAAAATTTAGCAGAAAAGTTGAACAAGGATACAAATGTACAGGAGTGTGCAATAGTGTGCAGGAGTGTGCAATATGGCTTAATGTGAGATTTTATCATTTTTTGAAAAATGTTCAGCAAATTCCTTCAAGTTAGGCTTGTATGGGCTGCAATTATTTCTTAACCCTTTAACAGGAGAGCATTTTCTGTGTCCTCTTCACATTCAAGGTATGGTCAAACATCACACAACAGACCATTAACCAATATAAATGCAGTCTTACCATTAGAATCAGTGCTCTGGAACTCTGTAACAAGTTGCTGCAGATATTCTTGCCTTCCTGTTCCCTTAGCCCCGGTCCTCTTTTGAAGATGTTCAGGAGTGCTGAACATAGGTCTACCTCAATTTCACCATGGGCCTTGACATTTATTCACCAGAATAGGATTACTGGAGTTATGCCCAGGATGCAGTTCCTATCGGTCAAGAAAAGCATATAGATAGGGACTCTGCACCTTTTCATCCTTTCACAATTAGGCCTGGGTTAATTATCCTTCAATAACAATTTTCAAGGCATATGAAGCACCAGTGTATGCTGACTCAGTCAAGCCCAGCTTCCATTGCAAGCATAGGGCTGGCATTGTCGGGATACCAGTACCATACCCGATTGATCATTTTCTTATTCACTGTTGCAATAAACTAAGACTGACTTAAGCTAATCATTTAAACCTTGATTAGACTCACAAATTCACCAACATTCCAGAGAATCAATAAAAAATAATTTCAAATTTAGAATTGAACAAATCAGATTTCGGGGTTTTGGCATTTTCCTCCCACATTCTAAAAATTGAATTGGGAATGAAACAGAATCCTGATTTAAATCTGAACTGCTTGAATTGTATTTGAATGCTCAGTGGTCAATCTCAGATATCAATGCCAGCCTAGATTTAGCATTAACTGTGATCTATGATAGTGTTTTTCACTTGAATAAGACAAACCTTTCACTAAAATGAAATGCTCAAGCATGAAGGGGTTTGAGAAAACTGAAAAATTGTTTGATCAAGTAAACAGGATAAACTATCCGCTCCCCTCATCGTGCAAAGTTAAGCAAACTTCTTCGTCAAGTTTTGTCACTCCAAGCTAATCGAGCGTGAAAAGCGTAGGCCTAAGTTTGGATCACACACTTCAATACAAACACATCACACATTTCAATAGCAATGGTCGCAAAGTTTCCAGGAGGATCTGGTTTCTTTCGGAAAGGATTAAAAGAGGCATGATGGTCGTCACGTAGCCGACTACCCTTCATATAGGATGCGGTGCATCGCCCACGCACCTTGAAACAAAAAAAAAACGACACGATGACAACTCGTACAACCAGCTCCGTCAGGTTCGTACTACGTGCATTTGAAGGTTGAAGAGCCTCCCACCTTTCCCATTGAGCTCGAGACGGTTCATCATGAGAATCATGACTTACGAACAATACGTGAATACAATATTTTTTTACTGATTAGTAATAATTTACGTCAGATTCAAAAAGTATTAAGTTCTTCACTGAAGGCTTCGCTTAAACGAAGCCCATGAATAACACGAGTTGTCACGAGATTGGACATCCATGGCAATACAGCACGAGGATCGGAGCAGACGACACTGATGCTCACGAACATGGCAGCATCCTAGTCCGTGCGTTGAGTGCCTACGGCATCTCGTTAATTTTGCGATTGCGTGCTTCTCTGGCTCTAAGATCGACCTACTTCACGGCGTCTGCAGACGTAAATACTCATTTTCTTCTAGCGCAGACTGCTGGCTCCGTAGCTCGAATTTTGAATACGATTGGGGTTCCAAGAAGCCGGACGACTCATGTCTTCTCCACTCCAACGCCAAGCTTTGAAGTTGCCTCCAACTGGATTGAATGCAGCAAGGTAGACCTAGGCGTGGCACTAAGCCTATCTTTAGGTTATTTTGTGGTTGGTTTCATGTGGAAGTGTACATTTTGCGGTTTTTATTATTTTGTCACGAAAGAGTGTGCTACCTGTAAGGAATGGGATGTGAGGATAGTGTTTGTGCTCTCTTTATGCATCTTTCTTTAGCTTTTCTCACAGCAAGGCTGTGAGTTCACTTGAGGCTTGATTCCCACCATACCAGGTCAAGGACTTTCATCCTTTACCCCTACTTTTTCCCCATGGTTGAAATAATTTTTAAGAGAGTAATGACTGAAAGCCTCATAATAGGGGGTAGTTTCAGCATAATAATCACTCTATCATGTCTGAGATTTTGTTTATCTTTCCCAGATAGGTAAATTTTTATTAGTGAACCCTAAAGGAAGGTTTCGGAATCTTAAACCAATACTATGAATTTGAAACAGACTCTTTGGCAATCCCAAGACATTCTAAGTTGTTAGAACCACAGAATTTACCTGTTGTTTGTAATTTCCTAAACTCTAAAGGAAGGATCTAATGCAGATTAAATATAAAGCATACCTTATCCCTGAAAATTTATTATACCCTACTATAGTGTTGGCATAATGTAGGGAGATCCCATGAACTCCATCTCTTTTGCAGTACTTTACATTGTATCGTCCCTACTCTGGAGAAAGTAAATTGAATTATTTGAAATCACTGAGAGTGGCAAAAAGAAAATGTGTTAGGCTAGTTTTGGAGGAAGAGAGGCATGGTGGAGTTGTAATTAGGATCTTTCAGGGAGAAGTATAAGGCTAGTATGGAATCCTTCAGGGTAGAAGGCAGTTGAGGAAAAATTTTGCTTTAAAATAATGTTGGCCTTAAGCACTGTTGCTAATGTGAGGCCCATGTGTGAGTGAAGCCATTAAATTGACAATGGCTCTTCCCTGCTCTTTCAGACATGGAAGGCGGCTGTCTCTTACCAAGAGGCGTGATTTCCGACCTGTTCATTGGAAGCAGTATTTCAAGGAATCCAAGGAAGTAATCACTGAAGAAGGAACATTTCGTGTGTACACTGCAGGAACAGCTGGCCCTGTCATAGTACTCATTCATGGAGGAGGTTTTTCTGCTCTGTCTTGGTCTCTCTTTGTGGTAAGCTGTGCTAATAATTTTACATTTCATTTAAGAGATATTTTGAGGGGACACCAAGCAGAGGCAGATGCAAAAATTTTTTATAGGGAGCCGTTCCCTACTTCCTATCTACCCCCCCCTAAACACCAGTCCTAGAAGATTCCCTAAGCCCCGCCCCGCCCCGCCCCTTGCATCACCACCGTTTTCAACATGAATGCGCACAAATAAAAAATAAAAAAAAGAATCGAGAGAAAAGGAGGAAGCATCGGCCTTTGACGGACCTGGGTGGAACGTGTTCGTTGGTGAGCGTGCGGATGGTGTGGGTGCTCCGCCACAGATCTCGGATCACGATCGTGTAGCAGATGATCATGATCACCGCCGGCAAGAGGAACAAGATCACGAAGTGGTACACGTAGAATGCAACGGTGTTCAGTTGCTCGTTGTCCAGGCAGTAGTGCAACGTGATCGTGGTCACGTTGTTCCCCACGGAAAACGGTACCGTCGTCTGAAAAAAAAATTATATCGATGAATGAAGTAATTAGTCACCTTGCAAGTATGCACAGTAACTAAAGAAAAAAGTACACGAGAAAAGTAAATAAGCATTAACGTCAAGAAATAAAGCCAAATTTGGTATTGAATACGGCAATGACCGACAGAGTAAAGACACAGAAACGTAAAACGAAAAACAAAAATGAGTTGCATTGACGTCTATGCTATTCCAAACGAGAGATCGGAAAGCAACTCACTGAAATGAGGAAAAGACGTCGAGATTGGATTCATGCACATGCACTTCACAACACCGACATGCAAGCACTTCGCGATCGGCATTTTCGCATTTTTACGCGATTCATTCTTTTGGTTTTTTTTCCAGCTGAACGAGTCCAGACCGAAAACTGCACATCTTCCGTCGCGCCCAGCTGCCGGAAGTCCCTCTTCGCTTCCAAAGATAACAAAACGTCCATATCGAAGCCCTTTCACCATAAAATCCGATCCCTTCCAAGATATCCGCGTTGAGTTGCCAGAACACGGAGTGACGCGAAGTCAGGAACGGAATTAAAAAAAAAAGCGGGTGTCTCGGTGACCCCGCAGTCGGACGTTTGACACCAGAGGAGATTCATCACACTGCGATCGAACCCGACTTGTCGGAGGTTTCGGACTCTTTCGCGAACGTTTTCAACTTTCCACTCGTTGTGGATCGCGTTTCCTTTTCTGCTCAGCGGAAAGGGACTTCTTTACGAGAGGAAAAGGATTCATCGCGTTTATCCAAGGGATGATGCGATGTGGATCGTTCACACTGTCATTCCTCTGGATGACGAATGAAAGAGGATGAGAAACGGGATGGGATGCATTCATTTTATCCTATCTCTTTTCTCTTTTCTCTTCCTCTCTTGCTCTCGCTATCTTCCTCTTCCTCCACCTCTCTCTTCCTCCCCCCCCCCTCTCAGATCAATTAACATGATTGGTATTGGATCATTCATCCACATGCTCCGTCCCCTTTGTTTTTCCCCTTCTCCATTAGAACAGATCAGGGTGTTCCGCGAATTTCCAACACGTTTATTTTTGCAATAACCCAGGAACGACAATACGTAAAATTTTTTTGTTGCAGGATTGGTTCTGGTCGGTGGAGATTTCTCTGAATCGGACAAGTCCAGAGAGTCAACAAAGTAGCTTTCCTAAATCCCTTTTTCTCAGAAAACCGAGTCTTGCCAGCATCCACACAGAAAAAAAAACATCTGGGAGAAGGATACGCGGGAGTGTCGTAAAGCCATTCGAGTGGTTTTGCGGAAATTGGGCGTGAATCAACCGATTTTCGCTCCATGGAAATACTTTCCGAGTCTCTCAGTCCACACTCTTAAAAATTTGCGAGCAGTAGCTCCAGTTCCACTCCCTTTTTCCCTCTGAGAAGAGAAAAAGGGAGGAAAATCACTAAAAATTTTCTCTTCTGTTTGCTCTTCTAGAGCAAAAAAGAAAAAGAAGGGGAGTGGGGAAATGAGCAAAAAGAGAGGAAAATTGGATTTAGATTGGATTTGCCTTCTTAGAATGCAGTATCGAGTGGGAAAGGTAGAGGTCCTTCTTAAACAAATTTAAGAAAACTATGGCACTGTTCTGAATATATCAACTGGACTTAGAGAGCTTATGCGACAGTAGTAATTACGGAGACTCCTGAACCCTGCAGCAGCTCGGCATCACAGGACCAATTTCATTCGTCATTTTATCGATATCTTGTTAATCGTCTTACATTACATCGGGAAATCATTTTTTTCTCGGCCCGTGGAGGAGATTGGAACCAAGATACGCCGTTTAAGACCACTGCATGATACTGCATTACTGATGCTTACATGGAATAAATAGTACCAGGAATGATCATTAAACCTGCACGTATATCCATGTTTGAAATGCCGACAGCCAGTCCCTCAGTGCACCGACTATGGACCCATTCTTACTCGGCTCCCGTCTTTCCTTCGAAACTCCCTAGCTCAAAATGCAGAAACACATCCTCAACGGTTCATAACGACATGCAGCACGAAGAAACTTGGTGTCGGTGTGCTCGCAAGAGAGAGTCGGTAAGGAGGATCTGCGATTTCCTCCTGGCATTCATAAATACAGCACATTTTGCACTCGAGCAGTCTCGGAAATTACCCGCAATATAAATCCCAATCAGTTTGCAATGACATTCAATCTAATCGTCTCCCGTTGAATGAAGTCGATTAAAAAGCAAGGATAGCTTGCTTCGCCTCGTTCTTCTCTACTAGCGCTCGGTACCGAAATTCCTCTCGTGTGTTTTCCTCAGAAAGCAATAGATCGCCTGGTGGATTTCCATGAGAGAATTTCGGTACCTAATGGGTGACATGCACCAGATTCTCCAGATCCTCTTTAGCTTAAACTAACCTGATCTCACAATGATCCTCTGCGAGAATCCGTTCGACGGAGATGACCTCATTCCCATAGAAGTCCATTATGGAACCAGACGAGTTTAAATTTAAATGGATCTGGGGCACGTCATTCAATATCGAATGGAATTAGTTAACCGCGTTGGGATTCTCGTCTCACGGAGGCAACTGATCCCTTCATGGACAAAGCGAAAGGAAAAGGGATTAGCTGAAAGTAACTGGGCGGTAGATGGAATTGCTCCCGCAAAAGTACCGACTTTTAGCGGGAAAGACCAATCTTATTTAAATGCTCGAACTTGACATCGGAAGTCAATCGAGTAGTTGTGACTTCGTTCCCCAACCAAAAAACATCAACCTTGAAAATTCCCAGTTTGTCATCAACAAAGCCCACCGCACTCATTCTTTCGGATTTGCCGATTTCGCAACTTTATCCCAATTACTTTAAAAGAACTCGCAAATCATAAGCGAAAAACATTTAATTTTAAAATATTGGTACAGTGTTTCATCTACAATATGGTC